AGAGTTACAACTTGGAAGGTAGGGGCTGGGATGGTGGCCTGCTTATCTTGGAGTGACAGCTTGCTTTAGAAATAAGCCACTGAATGGAGGCACTAGTTTCTGATCTGTTCAGCTTACCTGTCCTAGTATAAAGCCCTAGTCCTACCAATGAGCTGGGTTGAGGACAAGCCAGCCACAGCATCATTGAAGCAAGACATCTTGCCCTGTGATTGGAGGCTAGGCAGATGAAGAGAGCTTATTGGCTATTTTCAGCTGGAATGGAATTTGTGCTACATGTAGCTGGAGAGCCAAGTTCCCCTGAGCCTCTCTTCTTGGGATATTAAGATAGTTCTTGACATAGGGAGGAAGAAATCCTATGCTTTTGGCCCTACCCACTTGGAGTAGGATTTCCACTATGGTTACTCTGGAGGAGGTCAGATTTAGTATTCTCCTGAGTTTCAGTAGATTCCCTTGAATCTACTTCATTTTTTATATCCCCTTATGTCAATGTGAAGAGATTTCTACTGGTTGTTTAAAAAATAATGTTCCACAATGACATGTTTTCACTAGGACTTAGGTCTACAGTTTGTCACTGCTGTTCCAGAAAGGGAAATCCCTCATGTGTATTTTAGATATCATTTTCATTTTCGGATTCAGAAATATTAAAAAAAAGAAACCAAATAACACAAAGTAGTTTTGACAAGCAGCCTGAGCTAGCCTGAGGGGCATGACCATAGTTCTCCATGGTACTGAGTTGGGACAATGATCTGTGTCCAGGGAGGAGCCACGAGCAGTCAGTAGAGCTGAGTCCTCTTGGGCTAAAGTAGGGGGTAATTACGCTCTGCACTATGCATGGAAGGCCAGGGTCAGGTTGACAGATTTCTTGACAGAGCCCGTGTGGATGCATGACCACTGCGAACTAATGCTTACCAAGGCCCTGGCACGAAAGCAGCACCTGCACACAGATGCCATGATCTTAAATATTTCCAACTGGAAGAATAAGGGACTAGAAAAAAATGAATTCTAGAACAATAATTTCTTATGTCTCTAGAACTATGAGTTATGACTTTGATGCAGCCGTAAAAGTATAGGTAATTCATAATGACTTCGGCTGAGAGAGCTGAGGGAGAGAGAAGGGTAAGAGATGGGGGCAAGGTTATGCTAAGCATTCTTCAGAGGGATTTGGTTCAACAGGAAAGCTAAGGATACCAGGGGAGGTAGATAACTGAGATAATGCAATTCCTCAGGCTAGACAGGGAACCTGGCTTCTTACTTTAACAGGAAGGACAGCTCTAAAAACTGGTATAAATCCAGGCTACTAGGCTTAGTGGCTAACATGTGAATATGTATCATTTATATGCATTTTTATATACACATATATGCTTATTTGATGTCCTATTTTGGCATCTTTTTGTATGATAGAGGTAGTTCAAAATTTAAATGGAGGGTGTCTGAAGGGTCATAAAAGTGGGAAACTATGGTGACAAAGGTTTACAGATTCTGAGCAGAAGTTGCCGTTTGATGTGACACCCTAATTTTTCTCCAACTGTGCTCTCCTGATTGGGAATATGAGTGGAAAACATAGATCATCAAGGTCAAAGGTTGAGATGATTTCACAAAATAACTGCTCAGTACCTACCTCTTCATGTATTTTTTTAAAAAACATACATCTTAGATAGCTGTTCTTCCAGTGAAACAAACTACTTCTTTTAAATTTTATGTGATCTAGTCTCCTGTCCCTTTCATGGCTATCTTTATCTTCTCTGGCTCCTTTTGAGGTTTCCATTGTAATTTACAAAGGAGAGATGTAGTCAGTGCAGTGGGTATAGGAGATCTGCTGCTCACAGTGTTTCAGAAATAAATCGTGCATCTAACACTTTCTGGCTGTGTGGACTTAGCATCTTTGCACCTCAGTTTTCTCATCTGTAAAATGGAGGGAGAAATATCTCACTAAAGTTTCTCTGAAGATTAAATGAACTCCTGAGAATCCACTACTGAGTATTACTTTGTTGTTACTGTTGCAATTCAAATGAGATCCTCACAACAGGAAGCAGAATGAGGCTTACATCCTGGCTTTTGCATATCCTATAATATTTAATTCCTTGCCATATTACATAGTTTCACTCTCTTCTTTTTCCTCTAAATTATATAATTGCACATTTGTGGTGAACAGGAGGAAAGGCCTATCTTAGATTGCTAGAGATTTTCATCTTTTGAGACATTAATTTCTAAGTAGTTACATGGGACCTGTTTGACTATTGATATTATCTGCACCTCTTTTACTTCCAAAACTCATCTTTCTTTACTATCTTCTACTGAAAGTGCCACTGCTTTCCCCACAGGCTTGCTTATGGATATTCCTTTCCAAATACAACATCCTCAGGCTGTGAAGCCTTCTGAAGGTAGGGACTGTCATTTCTATCTTTGGTGGTAGCCTTAGAGCCAAGGCCTTTCACAGCCCATCCTCCACCCAGCACTTTCTTCCAGTGTGCGCAAGGGGATGCCTCTTCTTCCTTAAAGTCATGAATGCCATCACTTTGTCCCTCTCCCCTCAACTTTTCTCCTTTACACACCAGATAGGTTGTTTTTCAACACCTACCTTCAGTTCTTAAGTGATTACCTGCTTTGAACTCTGCTTACCTCCTTCCTCCAAGTTCTCTTGCCTGCTTTCTGACCTCTGTTGAGAACAGCTGGTTCCTATTCTCTGACACATTTCACCTTTGAAAGATTTTTCATTTCTACCTAAACCCAAAAAGTGCCTCCTATTTTCTCACAATGCTAAAACCTATTCCTCCTCCTCCTCCTCCTCATCCTCCTCCTCCTCCTCTTCTTCTTCTTCTTCTGTCAAATGTGAACCCAGCTGCATTTAGCCTGTATATTTTATCACAGTAAGTACTAGAAAGGAAAAATGATTTCATCTATGTTTTACAACAGTGAGTGTAATAAAATATATACAGATAATTTGTCAACTTCTGATCATGATGATACTCGAAGAACAGAATAAGCATTTCTTTGCTCAAGACAGGAACCATGTATTTCCATCTTTGATTACAAAATAATGATACAACCCCACCTGTAACACAAAGTCATAAATACTGATAAACATTTTTAAATACCTTACAAGAAAAATGTTATTTCACATTGAGATTGTCATGGGAGAGCTGATGTCTTTTCTTATGTAAAACGCTTATACATTTAAGGCTGTGAAGTATTATTGACCTAAAAGAAGACTAGCAGCATGGCAGGAAGGAAAAGAGGGAGAAAACAGAACAACTGAATGTTCTCAGCAAATGATTCTGTATACAGTGTCAGTCAAAGTGAGAAATTTTATACACACAATTTCAGAATTGTGCTTTTGAACTATTGTAAAAGAAAACCTGTGTTTTTGCATGTTTCTGAAGGTGTTTTCAGTTTATTTGAGGCACCTCTCCAACCTGATGACTGTTTTTAACATCCTATTCTATAATCCTAAGCCTATTTTTACTTCCTAATAATGAGTGTTAATATTTTAGACAATTCACATCTATAAAAGCAAAAGGAATCTGCTTATAAAAATACCCAATCTTTCAAATATAAGAAAGTACAATCATCTTAGAAAGCACTATGATTATTCCAAGAATGTGTTCACTTCTCCAGACTGTTTCTAGAATGCTGCTTTGGGATCACAGTCAGTTAGTTGAAAGCCAAGTTAGAAAGCCAATCTTGTAACTTTACAGAATTCATATGTATATATGGGTATAAACACATATATGTATATATATGTGAATTATATACATATTATTCACCATATTAATTTAGCTTCAAATTACAGTTGCCTGCATAAAAAGTCAAATTTACTTCACAAAGGCTTATATTCTGAAGGTGCCAGCCAGCCATCAGTAGCTCAGCCTTGTCATCCTAGTGACTGAGGAGGCTGCCTTCTGAGGATCACTGTTTGAGACCAGCCCAGGCAGGATAGTTGGAGATACTCTTATCTCAAAAAATTAACTAGCAAAAGGCCAGAGATGAAACTTGCTCATGTGATAGAGGTCCAGCCTTGCATAAAAATTAAAGGATTAAGTGACAGTGCCAAGGCCCTGAGTTCAAGCCCCAGGATTGGCACAGGTACACACAAGAAGGAAAAGAGAGAGAGAGAGAGAGAGAGACAGACAGACAGACAGACAGAGACAGGCAGGCAGGCAGGCAGGAAGGGAAGGGAAGGAAAGGGAAAGGGAAGGGAAGGGAAGGGGAGGGAAGGGAAAGAAAAGAGAGGAAAGGAGAAAGAGAAAAAGATCTGAAAGGTATTACTTAAATTGTGAAAGCATTTTTGAGTGGTATCTTAAAAGCTATTGAAAAGAACTGGGCAGTCTGAGTAAGATTAAAGCCGCTAAGCCAAAGCCGGCCACCTGAAAGTGGTATGGGGTGGCAGTGACATTTTTATGTGTAATGCTTTCCAAAAGCCCCATCTCTTTGCCTTCATACTTCTACTTTTCCTTCGGATGATTGAATTTTATCTAGCAACACATCACCTTTAAAAACCCTAAAATCATTTATAATAGGATCTGAATTTAAAACTTCCCATCAAGATGACCAGGGCTGGGGAGAGGTGCACCACTCTAAGAGACAATAAGAATATTTTGCTCCCAAACCTACGGCACCGAACGCATGTGGTAGGGGTTGGGATTCTAGACTCAAGTTTGGTTGTTTGTTTGTTTTGAATGCTGGTGATTTGGAGGGCCTTTCAAGCAGCTCCGAGGGTCTCCATTCTTTCCACAAACTCTAGGTATTTGAGCAAGTACGGGTTGCTTTCAATGATTTTTGTTTGTTGCACAGTGATTGCTATGATATGAGCATTTCAGTAACTGTGAATTTTGTTTAGTCTTTCTTTTCTTGGCACAGTTCACCATGCCTACTTGTGTGGCTTATGTTTTAAGTTTTGCAATTTGCTTTCCTTTGGGCACTTTTGAGGAAGAGGATGCCATGACTTTTATGTTGTCTGGGGAAGAGTGGTAACCTCCCCCCCGTGGTCTCTTTATCTATAAACAATTTGGCTTTCTGAAATGCACGGTTTATCATTGAATGAAGGGGATGGGAATTTGGCTTCACGAACCGTGCGATTTAACCCTTTTCTCAGAGGCTAGTGTCCCTGGCTTCGAACTTAGGCTGTTTGGTCAATGCCGTCACGGGCTCCGGCGGTCCCTCTCGGCAGAAAAGCACAACTGGGTTTTTGCGGGCCCACAAGGCCACGTCCCCTCCCGCCCCGCTGTTGGGGTCGGAAGAGGATATCCAACTACAAGCCCCCAGCCTTTTGGCATAGCGGTTTCGAAGGCGGTTGCGGCTTCGGGTCTGCAGATCTGAGCCCTGGCTGGGCAGGAAAGCATCCATATTCCTAGTCCGGTATCCCTCTTCGCGGTTGCGCCCTAGGAGCATGGAGATGTTGGGGTTGCGGACGGCGTAGATGACAGGGTTGATGGCCCCATTCGCCCAGGTCAGCCAGACAGCCACGACGTTGAGGATGGAGGGCGCCTGCGTGGCCTGGGCCTGTCGGGTGGCAGCCAGCAGCACCAGGAAGCAGTAAGGACCCCAGCAGCAGATGACAAAGACGATCATGATGAGCACGGTGGTGGCGGTGCGCACCTCGCTGAAGAAGCGCAGGACGCGCGCGTAGGTGGTCACGGGCCGCACGCGCACGTCCGACAGGCGCACCGTCTTGCAGATGTGGTAGTGGCAGAAACACATGAGCAGGAAGGGCAGCAGGTAGCAGGCCACCACCAAGCCCACGCTGTAGGCCGCACCCAGCTGCGCGGGGTCCGGGGAGGTCCGGTAGAGGCAGCCGTGGAAGCTCTGCGCGGCGGGCGGGTCCCGGGCAGCGCCGAGCAGCTCCCAGGGCAGGGAGAAGCCCAGCGCCGCCAGCCAGGCTCCGGCGAGCAGCTGCAGCGCGCGGCGGCGGCCGATCTTGTCCCGGGGCGGCCGCACGATGGCGCAGTAGCGGTCGAGCGAGATGAGGGCCACGCTGAAGGTGGACACGATGCCGAAGCACGAGCTGAAGAAGCGGCTGGCGGCGCAGAAGCCGCGCCAGGGCCCCGCGGAGTCGGGGGCGGCGGCGCTGGAGGCGGCGGCGGCGGCGGAGGAGGCCGCGCTGGCCGCCGAGGGCGCCGAGCCCCCCGGGGGCGTGAAGAGGTCCAGGAAGGCGGCGGGCAGGCAGAGCAAGGCCGTGAGCAGATCCGACAGGGACAGGGACAAGATGAAGGCGTTGGTGACGGTGCGGAGCTGCCGGTGCTTCACGATCACGCCCATCACCGCGCAGTTGCCCAGGCTAGACAGCAGGAAGATGAGCAGCAGGACGAGCGCCTGCGCCGCCACCGCCGCCCCGTGCGACAGCGGCGGCGCAGCCTCGGGGCCCGGCGCCGCCGGCCTCGCCTCCCCGGCCTCGGCCGCCGCCGCCGCCCGCGGGCCCCCGGCGCCCCCCGCCGCCGCCGCCCCCGGCCCGCCCAGGCCGCCGCCGCCCCCGGCCGCAGCGCCGCCACCCCCGCTCCCGTCGCTCTGGTTCCCCAGCGCCGCGGCCGCCGCGCTCGCCACGGTGCTGAAGGAGAGCGCGGCCAGCGAGGCCGCGGAGGAGGCCCCGCCGGGAGAGCCGGCGCCGGGGTGCGGGCTGCGCGGCCAGGCCAAGGCCATGCTCACTGGTGGGCGAGCCGGCTGCTCCTCCATGGGGCCCCGCGGCGGCGGCCGCGGGTCTGTTCATCCCGCACTCGGGACGGGAGGCGACGGCTGGGCCAGGGACCTGGCTCAGGGTGGGGCGCCCGCGGCGGGGAGTCGGGCTCCGCCGGGGCCCCCAGAGGGGTGGAGGTCGCGCGGGACCCGGCCGATCCTTTGACGTGGATTCCAGGCGTTGCCGAGGGAACCGCGTGTTTACGCAGGGAACGCGGGGCGGGACGCCAGCCCTGTACCCCAGAAAAGCCAGCCCATGACACCCCTCCCCACACACACCTGCTCCCACCGCCCGCCCCAAAGTTTCTTGGCCAGGGATCTGGGCATCGGAGTGCCAGCCGCCAAGTCCACCTTCTTAAGTCCAGCTGGAAAGAATGACACCACCAGCACACAAATGCGCAGGCACAATGGTGCGGTCTTACTTTCCTGTTGGGCACCCATGGCCTAGAGGATGGCCTCAGAGAGGAGGCTTTGCTTACTTCCCATGGGTGATTTTGGCGTATGCTGGTAGGAAAGGAATCTAGACCCTGAAGTGAAAATTCACACTGTGAGATCCTAAACTTGAGATTATAACTAGTCTCTTGTCCAGCTTGTGCTAAAGCAAAGCACCGAGGGCCTCAGTCTCCATTTCAGATGATGTAGATCAGGGATACGGTCCAAGAATGTGCATAGGTGGTGATGATAAATGCTGGTCCGAGAACCACAATTTGAGAGACCCTGTGAAAATATGGCCTCTCTGGCTGACTCCCGGCATTCCTGGGAGAGGGCCTCTAAGTCTATTCTGAAACAGGGGTTTTGAGGACGTTGGTTCCTTGCCTGCCCTGCTGCAGTCTTCCATCTGATCTCAGGATCGTGGCATGTGTTGAGTCTAAGGTGCTGCCAGCCAGGCAACCATCACAGGCACAGCACCAGATACCCAGCATGGAGACACAGGAGCAGGACAGATGTGGCTGCCTAGGGAAAATGGACAGTGGGCCAGCAGCATCAGCATGACTAGGAACTTCCAGAAATGCAAATTCTCAGGCCCGACCCAGATTGACTGAATGTGACCTTCTGGGGGAGGTACCCAGCTTTTTGGTGCATGTTGTGGGAAGCCCTCCAGTAGATGCTGACACACAAGTGTGAGAAACACTATTTTAAAGAATGACTAGCACACTTCTGGCCCACTTCTGTTTTCGATTAGTCCTTTGAATGCTTGCTTCAGTGAAGTGAAATACCTTACAAAGGGAAGTACCTTTATGGTGGTGTCAAGTAAGACCAGCTTTCTCAGTCTCAACACTGTTGACTTTTGGGAACAGATAATTGTGCAGGAGCTGTCCTCTTCTACCCAACTCAGGAGCACCTCTTTCAATTGTGGCAACTAAAAATGTCTCAGAAATTGCCAAATTCCCCTTCAGGGAAAAATCATCCCCAGATAAAAGTCATTGAAGACAAAAAAATAGAATAACTATAGGGTCATTTATTTATCAAATATAAGCGTCTAACATTATGTTTAGTTTTAGGAAATGAAATAATGAATCCTGATCCCAAGAGGCTTACAGTATTAGGCGAACATAAATGTATAACATGGTGATATGTGCTGTTAAAAATGTATATGATCAAGCCAGATGCCAGTGGCTTATGCCTGTAATTCTAGCTACTCAAGAGGCTGAGGTCTGAGGATCATAGTTTGAAGCCTGTCTGGGTAGGAAAATCTCAGAGACTCCTACCTCCAAGTAACAACCAAAAAGCAAAAAATGGAGCTGGGGCTCAAGTGGTAAAGCACTAGCCTTGGAAAATAAAACCCTCAGGGACTGTGCCTAGGCCCTGAGTTCAAGCCCCAGGACTAGCAAACACTTTCTCTCTCTCTCCATATATATATATATATATATATATATACATATATATATATGTGAGACAGTCATTATTTTCATATATTGTCAGATAATATGGACTTGAGGTCTAGGCCCTTGAAAAAAATGACATACACATATGACGTATAGATACATGTATATATATCCAGTTAAGGATTATTTTGCATACTGTTATTTTGTATATTGTAGCTTATCTAACAAAAGAGTCTACTGAATTCATGTGATAAAAGAGAATATTTTAATGTTTTTACTTATAATTAACAATGATCAAATACTATTTTTTACATGTTTATGTGGAAGTATCAATTAGTAAGAAGGCACTAGTGAACATTTTATGTTTTAAATGTACTTAGTATATGGTGATAGAGTATGAGATTCACTTCTTGGTAATGATTCACTGATTAGTTTTTTTGTTTTTTTGGAAGTACTAGAATTTGAATTTAGGGCCTAAAGCTTGCTAGGCTGGCCCTCTACTACTTGAGCCATGCCTCCTTCCTTGCTTTTTGCTGGTGATTTTTGGAGATACCAAAATAAGTCACCAGCACTGGGCTCATGGATTGATTTCTACTGTCTTATTGTTTTTCAATAATATAGTATGCAAGCCTTTTTATAAAAGCTTTAAAGAAACTAGAGGCACATTCATGAGAGACTGTGTGTTTAAGGGGAATGAGGCCCTGGGTTCATGATTTTTTTTTAAAGCCTTAAAGTGATAGCAAAAATTTGATTAGCATTTGGTCTTTGTATCTGTTTATAGCACGCAGGTACCAATGAATATAGAAGCTGGGCTTTGTAACTCAGAGGCCAGCCTACAAACCGCTAAAATACAGTATGTCTGTTCAAAGATGTCAACACCCCGGCCCATCCTTCCAAGCCTAGGTATGCCAAGTATTGAGAACCTTCCAGTACTCCATCTGGCTTCCATGCAGCTTACTGAGAACATTTTTGCTCCAAGTTAGACATCAGAATGATAAGCTTGTGGATTTCATCGTTGTAAGTCCTATAATTACAGGTATTATTCAAAGAGCCTTTAAGATAACATACTGTAGTCATAACCATAGAGTCATGTTTTTAAAGTAATATAGGTTTTCATTTTATCTGGTAGGTTAATAACTAGGAAAAGTTCCTGAATTTTTAGCAGTTTGTATACTAAACATACCAAATACATTGGAAGATTGGAGTTATAATGACTTTTGATTTAGCCACAGTGTGGAATTTAGACAGAGCGGAAATTAGCTTACATGCATATCAGACATTGGTTTTTACACCATTAAGAGAGAATGTTACTTATAGATAACGACCTTTAGAAGGAAAGCCCACACAATCATGGAAGAGGTCACTTGAGAAGAAAGCCGTCCTTCAGTGGGTCGTCCTCCTCCACGGTCATGCTCGCAGCCCCGGTGTAATGGGCTCGTCCCGACACTTCCACTACCACAGCTTTAAAGTCACCACACTTTGCTTCCTGAGAAAGCAACATGGAATGAGCACACTCTCAAAATGTTGCATCCACATTTTACCTGGTCTAAAGTTGTACCCTTGATTCTTATGCTAAGGAAAGCCCAAGGATTAGTCCCATGGGCAATGAGAGATTTTAAAGGACAGTGACATGGTCAAGTGAGTTTGAGCTAAATTAGGTTGGAAAATGGGGGGACAAATTAGAGAAGACAGAGACTAGAAGCCCAGAAACTTAAGAGGTAGCCTTGACTCACTGATTGAATCCAGAGTCACTAGGTAGTTTTTGGTAATGATGGAGGAGGACTAATATAAAGAATTAGGAGGTGGAACTAACTGGCCTGTTGACCCATGACAGTGTGGAAAGTAAGGAATTAGGAATCAGGTACGCATGACCATAGTTTCTAGCTTGGAAGTGATACTAGCGATGGCATTAATCAAGATGAAGGAGGAAGGGAAGGAAGAAGGGAGGTTGGGAGAGAGGAAGGGAGGATTTTTTTCATGGGTTAGAGTTTGTGATGCTTTGTGGACAGAATTTAGAGATGACTATAGAAAACATGTAGACTCAGAAATTGGTGCAGGATAGGCACTGTAATGATGAAGGTATGTGCGTAGGCAGTAGATAAGAATAAGCCTAGAAAATGATGAAAATGCCCAGTGACATCCAACTGTAGATGAGACGAGAAGGAATCTAAAGATGAAAGGCTGGAGACATGTAGTTGGAAGGCCAGGAACAGAAACTAGGACAGGGAAAGAGACTGAAAAGACATGGTCAGAGCCTGGAAAAGCCCATACAGACAGCAGGTGTGTGTGCACGTGAAGATGTTGGTAAGCATGATTAATACCATGCTTGGACATTTTACCTGCAGGATGTTTTATTTTGTAATTTTTAAGAATGACTGCATATAAGGATAAAATGTCAAATATTAAATTAGGGTAGAGTAATTTTACTATCTTTTTATAAAGCTGTTATAATATCAAGCCTCAGGAACTTTGGTTTTTTTTTTGTTGTTGTTGTTTTTGGGTCCAGTCGTGGGTCCTGAACTCTGGGCCTGGGCGCTGTCCCTCAGCTCTTCAGCTCAAGGCTAGCGCTCTACCACTTCAGCCACAGCACCACTTCCGGATTTTTCTTTTTGCTTATGTGGTGCTGAGGAATCGAACCCAGGGTCTCATGCATGCAAGGCAAGCACTCTACCACTGAGCCACCTTCCCAGCCCGCTTTTGTTTTGTCTGGTGACAATATAAAAGCAGTTCTTAAAAGGAAAAGGTCTGGTGAGGGAAACACATTCATAGTCTTGCTTTGCTGCTCACTGAGTAGATTCTGGTAAATTACCCAACCTTTCTAATGTTCTTCATTTATCATCTCTGAAAGAGGATGAGAACAGTACTAATTTGGTATTCTAGTAATGTTTAAATGAGATGTTTGTATAAAGTTCTTGGTTTAGAAATTGACATGGTAAATTACCTAACAAATACATACATTCTTACTATTTTGTTGGTTGGTTTGAGACAGAGTCTCACTATGTATTCAGGCTGACCTGAAACGATGTAGCTCAGACTGCAGTCAAACTTGTGATATTTCTACCTCAGCCTCTTGAGTGCAAGTACCTCCTAGGCAAGTACCATCAATACCTGGCTTATCTTTATCTTAAATTTCAGATTCTGAGGACATAGTGTTCTAAATTCCTGTTTACAACA